AAGTCTGGGAGAGTTATTCTCCCTAGCCTCTTTCTTTTCCTTACTAGTAATGTTTTGGTCAATTCTAGGTCTTTTGTGGTTCATATAAATTTTATTATTGATTTATTATAATTTTTATTATGATTTGTTCTAGTTCTGTGAAATATGTCCTGGGTAATTTGATAGGGATTGCATTAAATCTGTAGATTGCCTTGAGTAATATGACCATTTTAACAATATTGATCCTTCCAGTCCAGGAGCATGAGATATCTTTTCATTTTTTAAAGTCTTCTTTAATTTCCTTAATCAGTGTTTTACAGTTCTCTGTGTATAAGTCTTTCACCTCCTTGGTTAGATTTATTCCTAGGTATTTTATTACTTTGGGTGCTATTTTAAAGGGGATTATTTCTTTACTTTCTTTTTCTGTTGATTCATCATTATTGTAAAGAAATGCAACTGATTTTTGAATGTTAATCTTGTAACCTGCTACCTTGCTGAATTCTTCAATCAGCTCTAGTAGTTTTTGTGTGGACCTTTTAGGGCTTTCTATAACTTCTGTCTTTTTCTTGTCTGATGGCTATGTCTGACTGCTGTGGCTAGGGCTTCCAATAATGTGGGAAATAGAGGTGGTGAAAGTGGGCATCCTTGTCTTGTTCCTGAATTTAGCAGGAAGGCTTTCATCTTTTCACCATTGAGTATTATGCTGGCTGTGGGTTTGTCATATACGGACTTCACTGTATTGAAGTAAGTTCCTTCTGTACCCACTTTGGGAGTTTTTAATGAATGGATGTTGATATTTGTCAGATGCTTTTTCTGCATCTGAGATGATCATGTGATTTTGTCTTTTGTTAATGGTGTATCACATTGATTTGCATATGTTGAACCATCCTTGTGACTGGAATAAATCCAACTTGATGGTGTATGATCCTTTTGCATATTGGTGGATTCAGTTTCCTAGTATTGTGGAGGATTTTTACAACTATATTCATCAGAGATGTTGGCTTTTTAATCTTTTTTTGTAGTATCTTTGTCTGGTTTTGGTACTGGGGTGATGGTGCCCTCATAAAATGAATTTGGATGTGTTATCCCCTCCATTTTTTTTGTAATAGTTTGAGAAGGATAGGTATTAGTTCTCTTTTAAATGTTTGGTAGAATTCCCCTATGAAGCTGTCTGGTCCTGATTTTTGTTTGCTGGGAGTTTTTTTGTTTTTGTTTTATTACAGATTCACCTTCACTTCTAGTGATTGGTCTGTTCAGTTTCTTCTTGACTCAGTCTTGGCAGGACGTATGTTTCTAGAAATTTGTTCATTTCTCCTAGGTTGTCCAATTTGTTGACAGATAACTGTTTATAGTGTCATCTTATGCTTTTTTATATCTCCTCTTTTCTTTCTTTATTTGGGTCCTCTCTTTTCTTGGTGAGCCTTGCTAAAGGTTATCAATTTTATCTTTTCAAAAAACTACCTCTGGGTTTTGTTAATCTTCTCTTACTGATCTTTTGATCTCTATTTTATTTATTTCCTGCTGATCTTTCTCCCTTCTGCTGACTTTGGGCTTTGTTCTTTTTCTAATTTTTAATGTAGTGAGTTAGGTTGTTTATTTGAGATTTTTCTTGCTTCTTGAGGGAGGTCTGGAATGCTATGAACTTCCCTCTTAGAAATACTTTTGCTGGTGCTTGCTTTGGCAGCACATACACTAAAATTGGAATGATACAGAGAAGATTAGCATGGCCCCTGCAGAAGGATGGCATGCAAATTCGTGAAGTGTTCCATAATTTTTAAAGAAGAAATCAAGTGCTGTTGGCAGCTCGTTTTGGGAGGGAGGGAGAGAGAGAGAGAGAGAGAGAGAGAAAAAGAAAGAAAGATCTGCTGTATTGTACAGATTTTGAAAAGTTGTGTTTTCACTCTTTTTGCCTTGGGGTATTTTTCTTATTTCGTCTTTGATTTCATCATTAACCGATTGGTTTTTTTCTTTTTTACTAGCATGTGGTTTAGTTTGTTCTTTTCTTTTTTCTTTTCTGTAATTGATTCCTACTTTCATACTGCTGTAATCAGAAAAAAATGCTTGATATAATTTCTATCCTTTTAAATCTGTTAGGCTTGTTTTGTGGCCTAGTATGTGATCTATCCTGGAGAACATTGCATATGCACTAGTAAAAAATGTGTATTCTGCTTTTTTTGGATATAGTATCTTGTAGATATCAGTGAAGTCTAATTGGTCTATTGTATCATTTAAGACCTCTGTTGCCTTATTGATTTTTCTCTCTGGATTGTCTGTCCGTTGATGTCAGTGGGGTGTAAAGTCTCCTACTGTTTTGCTGCCAATTTCTCCCTTTGTTAGTATTTGCTTTATCTATCTAGGTGCTCCTGTATTGGGTGCATATATGTTAACAAGTATAATATCCTCTTCCTGTATTGATCCCTTTAGCATTATATAATGCCCTTCTTTGTCCTTCATTATAGCTTTTGTTTTAAAGTTTAAAATTGTTTGATATGAATATTGCTACCCACACTTTGTTGTCATTTCTACTTGCATGAAGTATTTTTTCCATCCACTCACTTTTAGTCTGTATGTCTTTTGCCCTGACCTGAGTCTTTTGTAGGAAGCATATTGAAAGGTCTTGTTTTTTTATCCAATCAGCCACCCTATGTCTTTTGATTGTAGCATTTAATCCATTGACATTTAAAGTAATTATTAATAGGTATATATTTATTGCCATTTTATTCCTTGTTTTCCAGTTGTTTTGGGAGTTCTTCTGTATTCTTTTTGTTTCTTCCATTGTAGTTTGATGGTTATCTTTCATAGTATGCTTGAGTTCCTTTCTTCCTGCTTTTTGTGAATCTGTTGTAGGTTTTTGATTTGTGGTTACCATAGGGTTCGTATATGCTGACCCATAATTATATCTACTTGCTCTAAAATGATAATCATTTAAGTTCAAATACAATTCTAAAAGATCTACATTTTTTACTCTCCCCCTCCACATTTTGTTTTTGATGTCATGTTTTTTTATCTTCATGCTCATCCTTTTACTGTTTATTATAGTTGCTTTTTCAGTTTTTAAAATTTAAACTTATGTACTGGCTTATTTCAGTGATCTTTAATTCTTATTATATATTTGCCTTTCCTATTGGGATTTTCCCTTTCAGAGAAGAACTTTCAACATTTAGAGTAGATTTGTATTGCTGGTTTCTTTTAAGTTTTGCTTATCTGAGAAATTCGTTATCTCTCATTCTATTCTAAATGATAATCTTGCTGGGTAAAGTATCCTAGGTTGCAGGATTTTCCCTTTTAGGACTTTAAATATATCATGTCACTCCCTTTGGGTCTGCAAAGTTTCTGCCGACAGATCAGCTGAAAGTCTTGTGGGGACTCCCTTGTAAATATGACTCTTTTTTTTCTCTTGTTGCCTTTAGAATTCTCTTTATTTTTTGCCATTTTAATTATGTGTCTTAGTGTGGGTCTCTTTGGGTTCATCTTGTTTGGAACCCTCTGTGCTTCCTGTACCTTGATGTGTTTCCTTCTTTAGCTTTGGGAATTTTCAGGTATAATTTCTTCAAGTACATTTTCAATACCCTCTCTCTTCTCCTTCTGGAACCTTTATAAATGTGAATGTTGGCATGTGTTATATTATCTCATAGACCTTATGTTCCTTTAGTTTTTTGTTTTTGTTTTTTATCTGTCTGCTTTTCTGATTGATTTCCATTATTCAATCTTCCAGATCACTTACGTGTTCTTCTGTTACGGTAGTTGGCTACTCATTGCTTCTAGAGTGCTTTTTATCTCAGAAATTTATCTATTTTTGATTGAGTCTTAAGTTTCTAGTTCCTTGTTAAAATGATTTGTGATCAGATCAATTCTCCTAATTCAGTTAGCATTTTTATAACCAACTGCTCGAATTCATTGTCTGGTAGATTCTCTGTGGCATTACTTTTCCAGGGGTTTTCTCTTGCTCTTTTAATTGAGAATAGTTCCTCTGCCTTTTCATTTTACTTAACTTTCTCTGTTTCTATGAATTTACGTTAAACAGTTATCTATTGTGGTCCTGAAGCATGTTTTTATGTGGGAGCATCCCTATGTAGACTGCATGTGCCCAGTGTCCTTGGTGTGAGGGCTGGATTTGATGTGGATGCAAGCCATATCTTTCCCCAGGGTGTACTGTCTACTATCACCTTGATAAGGGGTGTGGCTGGTGTTGGCAGGGCTACAGCCTGCACAGAGTATGTTGCAGGACTTCCTCTCTGCTCAGTAGCAGGAGTGGGGTCTGCTCCCAAGTGGCTCAAGTGGATGCCCTGAGGGTCAGGCTTGAGCTGGCTCTGCTCCCTTTAAGTATGTGTTTTTCCTTCTTCCCACACTAGGGCTTTGCTCAAAAGGAGAAGAGTGCTGAAGCAAGCAAGGCTCTGCTCTGACGCAACCCAAGGTTGCATCTTTTCCCTTATGATAGTCCCAGATCTAATATAAGGTTGTGGCATGGAGTGGGCAGGGCCAGAGTATTCACTTAGCTGGGGCTCATGGTGTTGTGGTTGTGAGAATTGAGAATTGGAGAATCCAGGCTGCCCTCAGAAGTCTGAGCTAATTCTGTGACACTGTTTGAGTAAACACCAACAATGGCCTCTGCTACCCCACCTGGACCACATCCCAGGCCCCCAGGGCCACCTTTGCACCTAGATCAAGTGTTTTCCCAAGAACCAGCTGCCCTAGATCCAGTGCCAATCTGTGGTGTGGAGTGACCAGAGCCAGGGTGTTCATTGAGTTCAGATTGGGGGGCACATTAGGACAGCAGCTACTAGGGCAGACCTCTCTCCACCCTGTGTGAGGGCAAGCCAACACCCATGGACTTATGAATGGAGTCTAAGCTGCTTCTCTCTTCTGTGTAGGATGTCCAGTCTGTGGCTCGACCCCACTCCCCAGGGCAAGAGTGCTTTTGCAATTTCCCCTGTCCTCTGAGTCCCCTCCCAGGGGCACAGGTCTCAACCTGATGCTTTTCTTCCTGTCCAGCCTAACCATGTGGGAAGACTTCTTGCAGCCTTGGTGGACAGAAGTTATTCTGCAAGTTTCCAGGTAGTTTTCTGTGAGAATTGTTCCACACATAGATGTATTTTTGATCTACATTTTCTTTTGGGAGAGGTGAGCTCCACATGCTCTTACTCCACCATCTTGATCCCCCTCCCTCACTTTTTTCTTTAGTCAACAGTGTTGTAGAACCTTGTCAAGGTTGTTTGAAAGCCTAAATGTTATATCCCTTATTTCCTGAGTCATAGTCTCAAAGGACTCAAGGTGATAATAGCCAGTCTTTTAGAAAATTTCTCAGTAGATGAACTATTGGTGATGGGCCTGGAGGTATGAGTAGGAGTTTAACAGGTAAGAAGGAAAAGCCAGGTCGAACAGTAAGAACAGCATCTGCAAGGAAATAAAAGTACACAGAATGTTTGGAAAATGCAATGAGGCTGGCACAATTTGTGGCCAGGGTGAGACTGGCAGGGGAGGAAAGCAGAAGGAAGATCAGAAAGAGAAGTAGGGACCAGTTGTGGACCATAACAGCCATAACTGTGTACTGGTTCTGGAGCATTTATTATGGGGCAGGTATTGTACTGATTCCGTACATACATTTCTTTGAATCCCTTCAATAATGAGAAAATTATAAGGTTCACTGTATTCTAATCAACAGATTTGATTTTTCCAGTTTCTTTCAAATATGGCAGCTTGCCTTAAACTTGAGTAATTAATCCAGAAACCTGGTCTTCACATGCACTCAATCTTTGTTCTATGAAGCTGGAGTGTTTCACCAGGATGCTGGTATTTCTGTCAGACCAGCATCCTTTCTCCCTTCTTTTTGATAAGTCTCCATCCCTTGGCCATAGAATCTAGACTGAGACAGTTATGTAACTCATCTCCACCAGGGTTTTCTATATTGGAGCCAGAAAAGAAGCTTCCTCCTCACTGGGGGATGTGAGCCAGGACTTTCCACAACCCCACTGTGGGAAGAAAAGCTGACACGCAGAGAAGAGCAAGGATGGGCAGTGTTGAGCCATAGTCCTGGCAGGTATCTGTCTCCTGTACCTCCTTTTCCTTAAGCAGGTTGTTAGATTTGTGCATGTAGCACACAGAATGTGCTCAATAGGATGTAGCTGTTATCTGGGAAAGTGGGCAGGAGGAGCAATTAGCCTGAAGAGGTCTCTTTCACCTCCCCCTTACTTCTGTCTCCAGGAAGTCTAGGATTTGCTTTAAAATACATCAACAAAGAAATACAGAGCAAACAAATGTGGCAAGATGTTGATAACTATTGACGGATCAGAAGGCATTATGCTAGACTATCTAAATTTTTCTTAATCTCAATGAATCTTGCTTTCTTTTTAAAAAAAATTATCATGCAGTTTCTCTCTTTGATCCTACTGATTAGATTTTTTCTGAGTGGACCTGGCTGATCATAAAGTATTGATCCTTCAGGGAATTAACTAATTTGGCTCACTAGTGTTTCATCTGGGCGTCTTAGGAGGTAAAACTGGCCTATAGTTTTCCTTTCTTGTGGTAACTGCATCAGGCTTTGGTGTGGAGTTGTGTTGACCTCAAGAGATGAATTGGATGTTTTCCTTCTCTTTTCTACACTCTGGAAGAATTTGGGGGGATTGGGGCTTCTCCTTCCTTAAATGTTCTGATCTGAGCTGTTATTAAACTCTTGATCTGTTAGTCATTATTTGCATGCTTTTTGGTATATGTGGAAATAATTTTTAAAATAACCACTAAGAAAAAGTAGGCAGAAATATTTTTAATTAGAAAATGTGTCACTTCCTTAGCTAAAGGCAATGTAATAATTTCACCCTAAAGACTACACTGGAAACCTCACCTCTGACCCGGATAACAAGCCTTTACACACACTTTCCTCTACCATCCTCACCACTGACATTTATCAGGCAGGACTATTTGCCAGGCACTGTACTAGGTATGTTACGTATGTCATTTCTTCCATCATCATCGGAAGCCTGTGAGGTAGACACCAGTATTGCCTCCCATGTTTTAGAAGAGAAAGCCGAACCTTGGCAAACAGTCTAGGAGCGAGCACTTGAACACCCTAAGTCTGACTGCAGAGAGTGTGCTATTCACTTGCACATGCCACTGTGTCCCGGGCAGGCAGCACAGCCTGCAGGGGACTGGAGAAGGAGACAATCTGGGCTCTGCCCCTAACTGGCTGTGAGACCTTGGACAAGTCACATGATCTTCCTGGTCCTGGTTTTCTCGATGATAACACATAAGATGTGGGCTCTGAAACTCTGCCTGTGAAGCCTGGGAGTTCTGGAGGCACTGCTCTGGGGAATGAGCAGCTTTCTTTCTGTTTTCCATACTGGCCGACATCCAGAGGCTTTCACTTGAACTATTAGTTCTGAGGCTTTAAAAAATCCTTGAAGACCATTTGACTACTCATCAACTTCTGAGGTTCCTTTGTTCTAATGATTCTATGAATATTCTATGATTCTATTCATCCTGTTATCTACTAAGCTCTAAGTAAGGTGTCGATTATATTCACCTGACCACAGAAATCTGCATCACACCCAAATGTTCATTTCTCCAACTTTCCTAGAATTATTCACTTGAAGAATGATACACAGAGAACCCCTAAATTTTTACCATATCAATCCCATTTAGAACTTATTTTCCCCATATAATGACATTCGCCAGTCTGTAATATTACCATCCCTTCTTTATACTGCTTTCCTCTTAATTTCACTTGTGTTCAGGATAGACCCTGGCATACTGTATATGCACTCAAGTGATTGCTGAATCTGAGTAACAATAAACTCACTCCTCAAAGGTTAAAAATCAAAGCATCAGATGAATTTTTTTATGAGACTTCAATTCTTGAAATACATAACTCTTACAGCACAAACACAGTACTTACAAGTTCTTTTTATAAAATATGTATGCTGTTTTGAAAGAATACTACTGTTAAGATCATGGTCTAAAATACTTGTCAGAGTTCAAAAAGGACTCATGGAATCTGGTCTCCAGAAATCCACATAAATAAAATATGGCTGAACATCAGGGCTTACCCACACTTAAAAATACTAATTCTCTATTCCAATGCTCAGCAAACGATCCCAAATCCAGCTGGTAGACTGTTTTTGTACAGCTGCAAGTTAGATATGGTTTTGACATTTTTAAAGGACTGTTAAAAAACAAAAACTAAACAAAGAATATGCAACAGACACATGTGTCCTGCAAATATTTACTATGTGGCTTTTTACAGAAAATGTTTGCTGACTGTGCGTTATATGAAACTGATAGAGACAGCTACTGGAATCCACTGATGAGTATTTAAAAAGACACCACTGTTATGTGCCAGTACCATCAGCATTACTCACTTCTAAAATGAGGCACTTCTGTTTGAGTATGTACATCTCCAAATCATAATTACATCTGGCAAGTACTTAACTCTAGCCCTTTGTCATTAGGCCTCCACATGAAATCACAGTATTCTGAGGGGCTGAAGTAAACAAGGACAAAGTATCAAGCTGTCAGTCACTGAGCTCATCCGTAATGGTAAGTGCTTAAGATCATTTAGACTCTTAAATGTTAATAAAATCGATAATTTAGATAATTTAGATATTGCAAATGGGAAGTGATACTGCTGCATTATTTAAATAACGTATAAAAGCACATCCCAATTCACTGTTTTCAAAAGCAAGGATCACTAGTTAACTCAGTAGCTACTTAAAAAACCCAAAAATGTAAAAATCACAGCAAAAAAGCTTTGGAATGCAAAAGACTGGGGACTCTTAGCAGTAGCACTCAAGCTGGCCTCGCCCTCATCTAGTTAGCTGCTCAGCTCCCATAGCAACCACAGCTGTCTCTCATCAGTGAGCCTTTTCATAAAAGGACAGACAGGTACATGAGCAAATGCTTTACAAGTGAAACCGCAGCTGCTCAACACACAAGTTTTTGGTGTATTGGTTAAGCAATTCCTGGTCAGTAGGCTCTGTTCAGTCCAGAAAACAAGTATTGGGTGTTTTTCCTTCTTCAGGCAGAGCTGGGTAAGCATCACATCGTGAAGACATCTCTGCGATGCCGAGTTTTAAAATGCTCAGTAGACGCTGAGGTAGATTTTCAAATGAAGATCTTTTATACCCTGATTTGATCGGGACTAGCTTCTTTGTGTATCCTCCTTCTGGGAAATATCTTCCGCTTAAGTGCAATTAACTGAAGGATGAAAGACAGGAAATAAATTTGTCAACTTGGGGAATTAAAATTTAAACTTTCTGAGGGTCATATGACCTTAATCATTTCCAGTCCTATTTCTATACATAAAAACAGACAGCAGACAAGCCTCCATATTTCCTCCCCTCAAAACAAAATCAGCCACTAATTTTGTTTGGCTCTGTAGGGTCAGTATGTCTAGGTATGTGCCCACAAGGTATGTAAACCAATGAAGATTGAAATTATTTTGGTCCAAGCTTCATTTTTAAGACCTATTAAAAACTACAGATTTTTATATAGCAATTATCATGGATACTTACTTTTAAGACGTCTATTTGTCATGTTTCTACTGAAGGAGACTGACTATTCAACCAGTAAGATAATGTGTCTGGGTTTGAAAATGACTACATATGTAAGCTAGGATTTTATATATTTTTAAAAGAATTCTATTACCATTTTTTTCTATACTTAACCATAGCAACAATCACTAGGTTGAAATACAGAATTTCATTTGTAATTTAGTAGCTTAGAATGTGGATAAAAATTTCTGTTAGTTTATTCACAACACATCTGAAATAGAGAATCTGACCACCGTTATGGGACAGTTTCAACGAGAAAAATATGTTATGGTTTCAATTTCTACTCCTCCACCTCGAGTTGGAAGCAGGGCCTCGCCCAAGCATAAGCCACCACCCTCTGGACGATGAGCTGGGATTCCAGGGCCGGGAAAGAGGCAGCAGGGCGGGTTTGTGAGCCTGGCAGAAGTTAAGGAATTTGATCGCAGTAGCTAAGGAGCAGGGTGCCAAACAGGAGAGGCGATTTATTCTTCCCTCCTTTCTCCTGCCTCTCTGCTTCCCTAGTCTCTGCTAGTAAAAAAAAAACTGACTCTCCTGTTTCCTTCCACTGCTGCCAGCTACTCCTCTCAGCCAGCGTCCCTCCTTGCTCACAGCGGACTCACAGGCTCCTCAGTGGACCTCTGTTCTAAAAGTAGGTACAGTCTTTTTAAGATTTTTTTTTTCCCTAAGATTTTTACCTGCCAGGAACAACAGCAAGGTTTCTAGCCCCTGGGAAGTAGATGAAGGTTTAAACTGCAGTTCTGCTCGCCCACCAGACCTTTACTTCCTGGATTTCCTCCCATCTGCAGTAGGAAGCTCAGTTTTTAGGCCACCTCCGCCTCCTCCTCCATGTAAGTAAACTCAGTATAAGCTCCCCGTCGTGAGAGCCTCCACTTCAGTCACCTGGGTGGAGGCCAAGTCGGCAGTGGCCTGCCGGGCACACGTGAGGTCAGCCAGACACTGTTCTTTTCCTTCAGAGCATTTCATACCCACTGCGGCCTAACAAGGATTCTCTTATCCCTTTCTTTTTACCTCATAATCTCATTTCTGGACCCTCCCCTGGAGGAGGCTGTGTGTGTGCCTGTAGGGGAAGAACCCCACAGCTTAAAGGGAGTCTGAGTGGGGGGGGCGGCATGAGCACCCCAGGCGTCAGCTACAGAACAGCGGGAAGTCTGCATCTAGATAAGACACTGTGGTCACTTTTAGAAAGATTAAAAGAAAGAAAGAAAGCTGATATTAGATAAGGATTCTAGGTGGTTTTTTGGTTAAAAATATGTGGAGCTTTCCAGTTTTAGCTTGAAGAATAAAATTCAATCTCTGGTGCTCCAGGTACAAAGAATACTGGCAACAGATGTTTGCTGCCTGAATATTATGAAATATATTTGACATATGAACGGTAAGCAAATAACAAGTAAAAATTTTCTTGTCATAAATTTCTTTTTCTTAAAAAAAAAACTCAGATGTTAATATACCAAGAAATACTGTTTGATATCCACATAAAATACGTAACTTACCTGTTCAGCAAAAAACGAAAATATAGTAAACATAATCAATGTTGCTAGCACACAATGAGTCCAAAACTTCAGTTTATCTCGATATGCCCTCCTGTTCAAAGAAAAGAAAGCATATATGTAGTTGTGTGTAGGGTTTCACCACCATTAGTTAGTAAAACTAACTACATACTATTTGCTAGTTTAGCAAAAACAGTGTTGTAAAACACAAAAACAATGTCTAGAGGCAATTTGAAAATGTTAACATAATTATACATTCCCCGCGTGAGTTCAAATTTTCTGTTACAGTAAATTTTTGAATAAGTCAAAGTTACCCAGGCAGGGGCGAAGACTTCAAAAGAAAATTTAGAATTTTTAACAAATTTTTAAAAAAGCCCTCTTTCATTCATTTTTATTTACTCATATTCATAAATGCCCATAAATACTTCCTGTGGATACAGAGAGGTGAATAAGGAGAAGTCCCTGCTCTAAAGCATCTGCAAGCCTGGGGAGGCGCTGATGTGCAGACAACTGGCCATCACACAAGATGGGCAGAAATACCTGTTAAAAGCAAAGCCTTGGGGAAAAACAGCAAAGTGAGGAAAGCACCACAGAGATGGCGATACTTCATTTCAGCCTTGAAGTGGGGAAGGAAAGCATGTGGCTGAGAAAGGAGATGAGCATCAGCAGAGAGAGCTGCAAGCCGGGTCCGGCAGAACCGAATCAAGTCTGGCATGGAGGCAGGAGGGATGCTCAGCCAAGGAAAAGCAGGTGGGCATGAGCTGCGGTTGTTCTGGAAAACCATGCAATGGGTTTAGATGTAATACTCTAGTGGGAAAGGGGATGATACAGCGGGCGTGTGTGCACGTGTGTGTCATAATCAAGGTGAAAATGGTGGCCACTTAAAGGATGGATGTCACAAGCAGGTGACCAGAGGCAGGCAGTCCAGTTCGTCTGGGCAGGAGAAAAGAATGAGGGCTATACTAGGGCAGTGAGATGGGAAGAAACAAGCAATGGGGCAGACATTCTGAGGGTGGAATCAACTGGACTAGACCTGGAATACTGGGGGTAAACAGGGGAATTACAGCAGTTTTCTCATCTGCAATTTGGAAATAATAATTTGTTATGAGATTAAGCATTTAACATAAGGCTTAAAGATATGCTAGTAACTTTCGAATTCAGGCCCCTTTGCAGAGCTCTACATTCATTCACAGCTGTTTGGCAGTGGGTGTGTCTATCTCAACTCACATACGCAAAAATGGTACCCTCCCATACATTGTTCTTCCTCCTGTATTTCCTACGTAAAGAGGATCACAACCAACTCAGTGAGTTCTAACGTCTATGGTATCATTCAGAACCTGTATGTATGTTAAGGAGCTAAAAAGCCACAGACTGTGATACAGCTAATGAGTTACCCCAGCAACCAAAGACCCAGTAATAGCTGGAGGTGAACTGAGCTTCTCTCAGCCACCCATCCACTGAGCACCCACTCTGTACTAGGGAGGCAAGTGGACTCGGACAGTAAAAAGACCATCTCTGCCCCTTGAGAGGGCTCACAGTCTCCTAGGAGCGACAAGCACACCAGATAGATTGCTGCACAATGCATAAGGTGCTATTACCAAGAAAAGAGCAGGAAGAAAGCCACCGTAGGAAACCGGGGGAAGATGACAGGGGACTCAAGACCGCAGGATCATGAAAGGAAAGAGAAGGAAAGTTCCAAGACAGTAGATCGGGGCTGATGGGCCAGCAGGGAGAGAGGACGCAGAAGTTGAGCAGGCCAAGGAAAAAGAAACCCCTAGGATGCAAAGAACATCCTGCACCTGATTCATTTGTACCACAGAAATCAAAGCCCTCTCAAACTCTCTTAAACCCACTCCTTTCTTATCCAACAGGGCCCTTGAAGGTAAATTTAGTCACAAACTGGATTTGAGGAGTTGACGGATGGAACCATCCAAAGATCTTTTTCCCCTAAGCTAAAAGAAAGTAAAAAGGGTGAGTCACAAGCCATTCCTTGCCATTGCTGGAAGACAGTTATTTAGTAATAACTTCTCCTTATAAAAATAGATATACACAAATAATACACAGATATTAGAATATACATGCTAATTGTCTCACTTACCCAACCCCAAGACACCAGAGTTCTAGTTGCTAAGGTCTGCTAACTCTCTCTAAAATCGATCCCAATTGTATCTACTGCTTTCTTTCTATTCCCTGGTTCACAGCTTGACAGTTTTGGGGATAACTGAAATGCTTACAACTTGTCTCTCTGCCTCCAGTTCCCAGACAACACCACCTCACTCCAAACACTTCCCTCACCTGTCCAACCCGCATGCTACTGTTATCTTTCCAAATGACAAA